CTTGAAACCGAACAAATTTTTCTCTTCCTCGTCCTTAAAGGATCCTGCACCCCTTCATTTGTTTTCTCCGTAGAACCCGTTCTTCCAAGAACTCGGTGTCAATATGGATGTTCCGCCGACCTCAGTGTATATACTTGGTAATGAAACTCGAATGGTGGTACCAAGGTTCCTTTGTCTGGCAAAGTGGTTGCTATTGTTGCTCTTGATCCCCCAGCTCAGCCTTCATGTTATATTTCAGCTCAGGTACCCAGAGGTCACTTTTCAACAACATTAGGACGGAGTGGGGAAACTTTCTAGCAACTAGAACGTTCCACAAACCAAAGGGGTTGTCTCCTGGACCAGAGAACCGGGGGTCAGGGGAGTGTTCATAGTTTAAGTGGCCATGGTCTAAATGTTGAAGGTGAGATCTACGCTACACTCTGGGGTAAACTATATAAACCTGTCCATCTCTTCCAACTCTAAGAAATTTGGAGTCTCAACTGGGTATGGCTCCAAGGGCATAGGGCAGAGAAACGGATGCTGCTGTCAGTCACCCAGTGTCCCCATGAGAGGTTAGGCAATCACCCACTAGCAAGGTCTCCTGGCTGGCCTGATCCAACCCCTCCCTGCACCTAATATAGCCTTCCCCACTTAAGCTCCCTCTCTACTTTGCATTGTATGTGTGAATTTTGCACGTGAATATGGGTTTTGCCAGGCCGCATCTGATATCCTGAGGGTGGATTTGATGGGTTTTGCCAGGCCGCATCTGATATCCTGAGGGTGGATTTGATCTCTCAGAAGGCAACGCTCATTTTTCCTGCCGGTTCCCAAGGGAAGAGCTGAGTTCTAAATCAGGAAAAGGAAGCAATAATTCACAAAGGCTGCCTTAGGTACCAGTCTATTGCTGGAACTCATCAGCCCACTATATGAGAAGAAGTCCCTGGCCAAGAAAAAAATGGAATCTGTAATCCTCAAGAATCAGGCCAATTATTTCAAATGTTTATTTATTTATTTTTGAGAGAGAGCCAGGGAGCACAAGCAGGGAAGGGGCAGAGAGAGAGGGAGAGAGAATCCCAAGCCTCCACACTCAGCACGAGCCCGACGTGGGGCTTGATTCCATGACCCTGGGATCTGTGACCTGAGCCGAAATCAAGAGACAGAGCCACCCAGGTGCCCTCGGGTCATTTTTTTGTAAGAAAACTTTTCTAGCTTCATGTGGTTTTCTCCACTTCTCTTTTCATCATCTAGGATTAATTACATTTTCATTAACTGTTCCTACTTTCTCTGCTCGGTGGTAGAGGATATTCAGTTTTGTCCAACTAAGCCTTTATTGAGCACCATTTCTAGGGTGGGAACTGCTTTAAGCGCCTGTGATACAAAGGTGAAGAAGATACAGCCCTGCCCTTTGAGTATTTCCAGTGAGAAAGAAAGACCTAACATATAATTCTGGGATCATGCAGTAGATGATATTGCAGTATGCGGAAGGCAAAAAGAAAATTAAAAAAGGAACTGTGGTAAGAGCTTGCTCAGAGGCACGGAGGTGGAAAATGATCACGGCAGTACGTAAGAAGCATGAGAATATTTGCTCCATTCATTAGTCCCCACCACAACCCTGTAATGCAGACGTCGATTAACAACCCCGTTCAACGAATGAGTAAACTGAGACTCAGCGAAGATAAGTAAGGGGCTGAAGTCCACGCACCTACTAAGTTGCAGAACCAGGGCTGGGAACCTGGCAGCCACGTTCTCACCGGACGTCTTACCTCCGGGCCATGCCGGGGCCTCCTGATTGGCCGGACCTGGGTCATGTGCCCGCCCCGGAAGCAGACTGCGAGTTAGGTGGTTTCCCACAGAAAAATCGTAGCGTTAAAATCAGAAAATTAAAAAAAAAAAAAAAAAAAAAAAAAGCAAGCTGGTGGTGGGGCAAGCAAAATCAACAGTTGTCCGCTGCAGAATCGCTTCGGGACTGCAGCTGTTCTCTTCCCTTGAGTTATGTGCTTGGGATGAATTTTCCGCGGATGGTATCTCCTTGGTCAGAACCTAAAACGCGTTAAATGACTCTTGATAGAGAACGCCGAGCAGTTTTTCAACAGGATTGCGTATTTACATTGTTTGCCCAGAATGAACTAGTTTTGCCACACTCTTCTCTGTGTGAGATGCTGTTAGGTTTAAACCTAGACAATTCTGATTTTACTAGATTCTGTATTTTTAGTTGCATAGTTTTCCCTTTCTCTTTTTAGAGTGGAAAGTCCAAAGAAGAGAGTATATAAAAGTTGGTTAGCCTCTGAAGCAACGGATGAGCCAGTTGGGGCCCTGGGGGGAGGGGAAGGACAGGTGTGCCCATTCATCCCTGCAGCGTTGGGGACCAAAGGTCTGGGTCTGAAGAGACGAGCAACAGGTCCAGCCGCAGCCTGGGGTTCAAGTTCAAAAGGTGCTTCCAACGTACACCTTTAAAAATTCTTTCCTTTATGGTCACTTCAGTTGTGTTATTGTAGTAAAGTTAGACTTCATGCCAATAAAAAAAAAAAAAAATGCGTGCAGACACTAGTAAAAAACAGCTAGAGGGGGCGCCTGGCTGGCTCAGTCAGTAGAACGAGCGATTCTTGGTCTCGGGGTTGTGAGTTCAAGCCCCATTTTGGACGGAGAGCTTACATACATACATCCTGCAAATAAAAATAAAGTGCTCTCTTTCAAAAAAAAAAAAAAAAAAAAGCAGCTAGAAAACTTGAGACATTGCGGGGTGGCTCTTTGTGAGCCTATATCTCCATTTTTCTAAATCATGAGGAGGGCAACCCCCAGCTCTCTGCCAGCAGTGCTGCCAGAGGCACGCGTGTGGCGTGTCCCGAAGACACAGACCCACTCTCCACCCCAGGGTCCCCGCGCGCCCTCTCCTCCCAACCACCCGGCCGCCAGGGCCCAGACCATAGAGGTGAGGATACCTCCAAACTCCTAGAGGGGAAACGCGACTCCGGGAGGCGGACTTCCGCTCGGGGCCACTTCCGGTTCTGCCCTACCCGGTCGAGGGCGACGGGTTGGAGGGTGTGGGCTGGGGCCTGGGGCCGAGCCGGAGCCGCCGAGGGGCCTCCGGGGTGGGCGCCGGTCCCAGCCGGCGGGCCGCGGGGCGCCCGCTCAGAGGGACCCGCACGCTGCGGAGTCGGGGGGCGGGCAGGGAGGTTGCCTGGAGGGGCCACCCTGGAGCCGGGGCCCCTGTCCCCGAAGTGATGCCTCCGGCTTCACTCCTTGAATCCCCAGCGCTTTGGACTCGTTTCCTTTTTATAAATTCCGGAGGCCACTGGCGTGTAGAAAATAATGGCCGTACCCCACTTAAGAATGCGTAGTTTAGGGTCCGTTCCCTTAGAGCTGAGAGGACGGTCTACGTACCCATTTTAAAAACAGCCCAGGGGCATCTGGGTGGCCCAGTGGGTTACAGCCTCCGACTTGATTTCGGCTCAGGTCAAGATCTCACCGCGGGTTGGAGCTTCTCCTCAGGCTCTGCATTGGCAGCTTGGGGCCTGCTTGGGATTCATTCCCTCTCTCTCGAAATAAATATACATATGTATTTTTTTTTAATGACATAAAAAACAGTCCAGTAACTAAAACAAAAATAATATGCCATAGTATCTATTGTGGCCGGATACAGGAGAGAGGTGTCAGGTCAAACTATGAGGAACTGTGGCCGGGGAAGAATGGAGTAAAGGGAGGAGTGCGCAGAGGTCATTTAGAAGGAGGTCGGGAGGTACCAGATGTAAGGAGTCCCAATGCCTTGCCTGTGGGAGAGGAGGGTGAAGGCTTAGAATAAAGAAAGTCGTCTTCCCAAGGGTAAATGGGATGCTCGCCATTGCAAACCAACTGCAGGATACTGGCCTGGCTTCTTTACTGTTCTTGCCACAGGCTCTGACTGCCTACACATTTCAACTCGATTGTTCAGTTGTTCAGGATTTTCAAGTGAGGACAACGTCTGCTGCCCCCTCTCCTACTGTGTGTGATTGTACAGGAGCGAGGGTTCTTTGGTGAACCGGATTTACCTTCTCTGACGCTGTGTTACAAGAGTGTGTTAGGGAGTATTTCATACAAAGCTTTTACCATAATGTGTTTACCATAATGAACAAAAATAAGTTTTGGGTTTGAACTATGGTCTCTTAGCACAGCTAATAATAGAACACCAAAGTGTTCTGAGAAGCCCTGCAGTAATGGAACTTGTCTCACTCTGTTTAGCCTGGTGTTTCTCAAGCATTTTGACCACAGAAACGTTTGAGTAACACCCTATTAATATCTCTCCAGTGCGGTTTTTCCCAGAACACATTTTGGGAAATGCTGACAGAGAAGTCATTCACCTGGGCGCAGACACTGTCCCATCTCAAAAGACATGTCACAAGTCCTTTTTGAAAAGCAACTGACCGGATTTCAGTAAGGATAGTTGTGTTCAGGAAAATGGTCCAAAGTTAACAAAGTACTACAAGCCATGTAACGTTTGGAAAAGGAAGCGAACCCTCCTTGCCTTTCCTGCTACGTACGTCATGGACAGTAGATGATGTCTCAATATTATGGAGCAAATGCCCTCAATGTATAATTATAAAACAATGGAAAAAATTACTGGGGGGGGGGGCGGGGAACATGAATTGTTCCAAGTGGAAATACTATAGTTCAGGGTTTCTTTTATTTTTGTTACTTTTTTTAATGTTTATTTATTTTTGAGAGACAGAGAGAGACAGCGTGAGCAGGGATGGGGCAGAAAAAGGGAGACACAGAATCTGGAGCAGGTTCCAGGCTCTGAGCTGTCAGCACAGAGCCCGACGCGGGGCTCAAACTCACAAACCGAGAGATCAGGACCTGAGCCAAAGCCACCGAGCCACCCAGGCACCCCTACAGTTAAGGGCTTCTTAATGACAAACCTAGGAAATTTGTTCACAGACTCCGAGAAAGATCTATATTATTTTTTTAATGTTTATTTATTTTTGAGAGAGCGGGGAAGGGCAGAGAGGAAGGGAGACAGAGGATCCAAAGCAGCCTCTGCGCTGACAACAGAGAGATGGATGCAGGCTTGAACTCACGAACCACAAGATCATGACCTGAGCCAAAGTCAGATGCTTAACCAATTGAACCCCCCCAGGTGCCCCAACCAGCAGCTCTTAATGAGGTAGTTTCACATGTCTGACACAAACCTCTGTCCTGGAGAGCTTTGAAGTGACTTCCTAGTATGTTACTAAATTTGCAGCTTCAAGAAAAACCTCCCTAAAGATGAGGTAAGAATACGTCGGAGTGCCCTTGCTCCGTTGCGTAGAGCCAGAAGCCTGGTTTCGTTAGTTTGCCCAGAGGTGAGTAGGCTCCAGAGGGCACACTAATGCTACCCAAACTCAAAAGGGATTGATGTATAAACCTACAATGTGCATTAACTACTTTCTAGTGAAAAACTTAATTTTCAGCCATCTGGATAATTTTATTTGCCAACAAGGTGTTCCTTCACGAAGGAAGATCTGCGTGGGAGACCAGATTCTTACCCTATGGTAGGTCCTTTTGAACACAGATAGCATGGAATTAACCGAGAGAATGATACCCAAGTTTAATGGCACCGGGTGTTTTCAGTTCTACAGATAATACCTGTTGGATTGACTAAATGTTTTCATGAATAAAAGGCACTGTGTCCCACGGTGCTAGAGGCAAGACAAATCATTTTGCCTTTTTGAACATCACTTTCAGAGATGCTCTCCCCACCACATTCTTTCTCAAGCTACAATCCAACACGGTGAACTTGGTTTAAGTTTTTCTGTTTCCAGCTTGTCACCAGCTGTGCCTCCCTGCAAGTGCACCCAGGTCACCACATTTGGATTTGGGGGCTTTCTAGATGGTCTCTTTGTGCTTTCTGTTGATGACCGATTTCATTCTATATATTTGCTCTCTTTCTGAAATTTAAGTATCTATTGGCCCCGTCGTTGGTTTGGAACCTTGGGAGCTTTGCGGGCGAAATCTGAAATTGTTCTCCACACACAGAGGGTGAGTAGAGACCGAGGAAAAGGGTAAACACCCCCAGATTGGTAGGTAGGAGGTTTAATAAGCAAGGCTCGTCACGGGTAGCCGTAAGTTGTAAATCGCACGCACCCACCAGAATCTTAAGAGTTGACGTAGAAGCCTGGACAGGGTCAGTCGTGGGCACTGTCCAGATGACCTCAACACACGCTGCTCTCTCCAGGCTCTTTCTTGAAAATGGATCCTAGCACGGGAACAGCGGGCAGAGTAGACACGCCCAGGACGGAGAGGATGAGAAGCTTCTGATTCTCCAGTCCAGCCTGAGGGTCACCTGGTAATCAGTGTCCTCTCGATGACTTCCTCCACCACCCACTTAACCCATCCAAGAAGCAAAACATGTATTAAATTGTTTTTTTTTTTAAGTCTATTTATTTATTTTGAGGGGGAGGAGGGGTAGAGAGAGGGAGAGAGAGAATCCCAAGCAGGCTCCACGCCGACAGTGCAGAGCCCGACGCGGGGCTCAGAGTCACAAACCACGAGCTCATGCTCTGAGCCAAAGTCAGATGCTTAACTGACTGAGCCACCCAGGCGTCCCTGAAACCTGTATGAATCTATTTAATGAGCTCCTTTCCTCTTTGACACTGTACTTGATGTTAAGACTAACGGCACGTGATTTTCTAATCAAAGAGGACCCGTCCGTTCCATAGGACACATAGTCAAAATTGCATTTGCCCACTGTTGAGATAGTATAGCTATCATTATTCAGATAGCTCCGGCTGTCAGCACAGAGCCTGACATGGGGCTCGAACTCACAGACTGCGAGATCGTGACCTGAGCCGAAGTCGGATGCCCAACCGACTGAGCACCCAGGCGCCCCACTTTACATATATTTTATACGTGCTCCCAACAACAGCTGTCATTTATCTACATTGGTACTAATTTATTGTACTTGAAGAGGGGCCCTAAAGAGGAATCTCCCAAGAATTTGGAGAGCTAGCTCTTGGAGTTTGAGCTCAGCAGCACCCATCTGGGACGAAGTAATAAAAGAACCCGAAACGCAGCCAAGAAAATATCACCAGGAAAGAGATCTCGTGTCAGTGCTCTAGAAAATGCTCATACCAGGGGATGCCAACCACCCATGAGACTTTGAGCAGACTCCAAGAGCTGTGTCACGAAAGGCGGAGCCCAGACATTGATGCGAAAGGACAGATAGGAGGTGCTCATACCACCACAGCTCCTGGTGATTCTGCCAGAGGATGCCAGACCCCTGTGGGGACATCACCCACCAAGTGCAGAGAGCTGGAATTGTTGTGGAAGCTCTGGGGGAGGTTCGGGATAACGGGTAAGAGGCAGGAGGTGTGAGCACGTGGAGAGTTGGGGAAAGGGGACGCAGAGGGCTGGGACCACCAAGCTAGAGCAAGGTGAACAGTCCCTACAGGGGGAGAAAGAGGCTGAAAAGGTCTCTGCCAGGCTGGACTGAGAATGCTGGTCTCTCTGATCTGACTCCCTCAGAACTTGCCCTACAACTTACCACCTTCAGAAATTAGTCAAGATCTGGCTTTGTCCAGGCTCCTGCCACACAGTTCCTAAACCCTTGGAGTTTTAGGAGTGATAAGAGTGTCTTTTGGATGCTGCAGAGATGGCTGGTGGCTGGAGGCCCTTAGGGCTGATACCCAGAAAGACCAAGGCTTGACCGTAGGGCTGGATGTTTCAGCCCTTTCCCCTGACCTCTAAGGAGGCGAGAGGGCCTGGAGTTAATTACTAACGTCCAATGATCTCATCAGTCATGCCTACATAGCGAAACATCCATGAAACCCCTACACGATGGGTTCAGAAGGCTTCAGCGTTGGTGAGCACAGCCAGGTTCCAGGCAGGTGCCTTGCCCTGAGAAAGCTTGGAAGTTCCAAGTGCACCCACCCTCCTGTCCTGGGCCCTGGTGCATCTCTGCCATTTGGCTGTTCCTAAATCGGACCCATTAAAGTCAACCGGTAACAGTAAGCAACGTGCTTGTGTAAGTCCTGTGAGTCGGTCTAGTGAATTATCAGAGCCGGGGCCAGGGGGCTGCTACGGATTTATAGCCAGTCACCAGGAGTACTGGTGATCTGGGATTTTGTCTGGCATCTAAAGTGGGGACGGTCTTGTGGGACTGAAGCTTTAAACGTGTGGAGTCTGACGCTAACTCCAGGTAATGTCGGAACTGAATGGAATTGTTGGACACCCACTTGGTGTCAGAAACCTGGGGAAATGATTGGTGTCAGGAAACAAAACAAAACAAAACCCTCATTCATGAATGTCGATGCAAAATCTTAAATAAAATATTAGCCAGTAAAATCAGGCATCCAACTAGGGTTTATCCAGGAATGCGAGGGTGACTCAATATTTCAATATTCTACAAAGTCAATCAAGGTAATTCATCACAGTAGAAAAAAATTCATAACATTGCAGACGTACCTCGTTTTATTGTGCTTCAGTTTACTGCAGTGCACAGATACTATGTTTTTTACAAACTGAAGGTTTTTGGCAATCCTGGGTCGAGCAAGTCTATCGGCACCATTTTTCCAACAGCATTTGCTCACTTCATGTCTTTGCGTCACATTGTGTAATAATTCTCACAGTATTTCAAGCTTTATTGCTCTATTTGTTGCAGTGATCCGCGATCATGATTACCACTCGTCACAAGCTCAGATGACAGCATGTTGTGGCAAGAAAATCTTTTTTAAAAGTAAAGTATTTTTAATTAAGGTATGTACATTGTATTTTCAGACATAATGTTATTGCACATTTAATAGACCACAGTAGAGAGTAAACATAACTTTTACACGCACTAGGAAACCAAAAATTCATTTGACCTGCTTTATTGCAATGTTTGCTTTATCTCAGGGGTCGGGAACCAAGCCTACAATATCTCCCAGATATGCGTGTCTTTTTTTTTTTAATGTTTATTTGTTGGGGCACCTGGGTAGCTCAGTCAGTTAAGCATCTGACTCTTGGTTTCATGTCAGGTCATGATCTTCCAGTTCGTGAGTTCGAACCCCACGTCGGATTCTGCACTGACAGCTCGGAGCCTGCTTGGGGTTCTCTCTCTCCCTTTCTCTCTCTGCCCCTCCTCCACACTCTCTCTCCCTCCAAATAAATACACTTAAAAAAAGAGAGAGAAATTTTATTTATTTATTTATTTTGAGAGAGAGAGAGAGAGAGAGAGAGAGAGAGAGCGCGAGCGAGCACACAAGCCGGGGAGAAGCAGAGGTAGGGAGAGAGAGAATCCCAAGCAGGATCTACACTGTCAGCACAGAGCCCAACGTGGGGCTCGATCTCATAAAGCGTGAGGTCATGAAGTGAGCCAAAACCAAGAGTCAGACGCTCAACTGACTGAACCACCCAGGAGCCCCAACATGTCTCATGATAGATACATAAAATGATGGCATCAGAGAAGGTGATTTGGAAAAGTGACACTGAGGGTCGCCTGGGTGTTTCAGCCAGTTAAGCATCCGACTCTTGATTTCGGCTCAGGTCATCATCTCACAGTTCGTGAGATATAGCACAGAGCCTGCTTAGGATTCCCTTTGTCTCTCTCTCTCTCTCTCTCTCTCTCTCTCTCTCTCTCTCTCTCTCTGTCCCTCCTCTGCTCTGTCATGCTCTTTCAAAATAAATAAACATTTTAAAAAGTTTTTTAAGGGGCGCCTGGGTGGCTCAGTCGGTTAAGCGTCCGACTTCAGCTCAGGTCACGATCTTGCGGTCCATGAGTTCGAGCCCCACGTCGGGCTCTGGGCTGATGGCTCAGAGCCTGGAGCCTGCTCCCGATTCTGTGTCTCCCTCTCTCTCTGCCCCTCCCCCATTCATGCTCTGTCTCTCTCTGTCTCAAAAATAAATAAACCTTAAAAAAAAAATTTTTTTTTAAAGTTTTTTAAGTGAGCTCTTTCCTTCCTCCCTCCCTCTGAGTTCTGTCCCTTCAGTTTGAATGAATTAGTTGAAAACCGTGGTCCCTTGTAGTCCCGGCCTGAGCCATAGGCTATACTACCTGTTGTGTCACTAGGGCCCCTGATCCTGTGATCACAGGATCCTCTGGCTTTACATTCTGGTCCCCATCTCTGGTTCCGTGTGTCTTTTGCTGATTCCTCAATCTGCAAGACAGAACAGAAGGAAGCTGGCAAGCAGATACTATTGGATGATTAATTATTGTAGCAGGTACTCCAATAGGTACCAGAGGGACAAATATGAACCGAGGTCCTGGAGGAGTAAGTCACTCATCAAAGGTCCCTCTGCTGATAAATGGCCGGGCAGGGCTGAGATGTGAACCCAGTTAGTCTGGTTCCACAATTCACACTCTTTTTTTTTTTTTTTAATGTTCATTTTTGAGAGACAGAGACAGAATGCAAGCAGGGGAGGGGCAGAGAGAGAGGGGAGTCACAGAATCCGAAGCAGGCTCCAGGCTTTGAGCTGACAGTGCAGAGCCCGACGCGGGGCTTGAACTCATGAACCGTGAGACCACGACCTGAGCCAAAGTCAGACGCTCACTGACCGAGCCACCCAGGTGCCCCCAGAATTCACACTCTTAATCCTTCTGTGTCCCTAACTCTACATGTACATAAACCAACCGGAACACTAAGCACTGTCAGATAGACGTCAAACTACAAAGGAAAGTGATTAATTCTGACTGGGCGTGAGTTGGTTCTGGAAGGCTTTTAAAGAAAGAGGTAACATTTAAGCTAGGACTTAAAAGCTGCAGGTTTTGGCAGAAAATGAGAGTGTATTAGTCAAGACAGACTGGACTATGCCGTGGAATCGAAAGTTTAACCCAACCAAGATTTCTTTCTCTTAACCAAATGTTAATTCAAGTGAACAAATAAATATTTAGGGCATTCCCTCAGGGTCACGACTCAGAGATCCAGGCTGCTCCCACCCCCAACTCATGGTCGTGCATTCCAAACACCTGCTTTCCTGATCCTGATGCAGGGAAAGAGACAAAAATGTGGAGCACACACACCTGCCTGTCAACGCTTTCAGCCCGGAAGCCACGCACATCATCACTTCATTGGTTCTAACTGAGAAAGCACATGGACTGTTCGGTAAGAATCTATTGCCTCGCCACGGAGACGAGAACAGGGGCATTCCAGCCCGAGGAGGGAACATGTACAAAGGTGCGAGAGGATAAAAGTGCACGGTATGCGTAGGGAAGAGTAAATGAGTTCAGGACCCAAAAGACCGCGAATGTCATTTCATAAGTTGAAGTCTGCTGGGGCCGCCATTACAAAATGCCAGAGATTGGGTGGCTTACACAACAGATGCTTATTTTCTCACAGTTCCGGAGGCTGGAAAGTCCGAGATCAGGGTGCCAGCAGGTGGGTTTCTTCTCAAGCCTCTGTCCTTGGCTTGCAGACGGTGGTCCTTCTGCATAGTGTCCCCTGATGTCTCTCTCTC